TGTAATAATCGGGATAAAAATGGCAGGTGGTTATTATTATAAGGCATGTATCTAAATTTGTGTCTCGAACAGACCATCCCTTGGAAGTGTTTGTGAGTATTTTATGTCACACCAGGGTCAAAGCAATGTTCTGGGGGAGTGAATGTGTAGGCGGGGCATATAAAAAATATAATTTGGTACTCGAAATGAATGAGATCTATTTAATATCATGACTTAAAGTTATCTATTGCTTTGGCTCAGAAAATATCAGTTGTCCAAAGGCGCGTCATGCATCAAGAATGTAAGTATAGATGTATGTGGAAGCAGCTATAGAATAATTCGTTCAACGGTTGAGCAATGGATTCAAGCACTGAATGTACTTTAATTCGGTTAAAACTCTCACCGGAGTTGGATAAAGGAGTTCAGGACCACGGAGTCTACTTACTGTTGAGCAATGAGCCATTCACATCCTAATAGGAAAACATCAAAGAATCACATATCATGAGTAAATGAATATTATATTCAGGGTATCATTGTAAGATAATATTAAGTAAAGTTGGTGCTGAATCTCGAATTTGGAAATAATTTGGAGGAAAAGCAACCATGTATGGGTTTTCAAGAATGAAAAATGTTTGCATTTTCTTGATCCCATGTTTTAACTTTTATTATAAAGGGGGTGTGCGATAGACTTACCTCTACCCGGTGCACCTTGGACAACGTATACTCATACGACAAAAAAGTTTATTAATCGGCAGTTGACTCCTCACTTCAAACTACCATGACCCCACTGCACGTCATATTCGACTACTTTCACAGTACTTATCTCACCTTTTTCCACTTTTGTGTTTGTCTCTTTTACATCTTTGAAACACTCTTCTGTTCCCCCACCACCTCTCTCGACTTTTATCACTTTGATGTTCCTCCTCCTCTCTGTGAAGCCTGAAGTCAACTAAAGGGCTAATGATAACTATCAAAACGCCTGCCATTTGATATAAGTAAATAAATTAACTTTTTTTCTAAAAGCAGATGGAAATCTAAACCAGGTAATACTAAGATGTTAAAGCATTGGTAAGTCACGGGTGTCGCTGATTCGAAAGTTAATAATCTGATAAGCTTAATTAGCTCTAATTGGGAAATAATTTCTTATAAGCTGGATGGGAATACCATTATCTTTTGACCATATTTTAGCGTTCACTACCAAATTCACATCTATAAATATCGGTGTCTAATCGTATACCAGCTCTCGAATTCCTCCCATCCAATTCCCTCAGCTAAATATCTGATCTGTGTCGGTTACTATTCCAACCAAGTATTATCGACAATATATTAGTGATTCGAGTTCTTTTAGTTCTTCTAATCAAGTGAGTTTGAAACGCCATCAAGTACTTTGCTTACTAATTTATAAAGAGATGTTTTGGGTGACACCTCAAACCAAGTTGGAATGCTCTGTGCCAATTTGACCACAACTGCAGTCGATTCTTTGGGGAGTTACTCCAGTTGGCAAATTCTTTAGCATTTGCCATTTTAAATTAATTTCATTAATCCCAAAAGAATTCCTATTTTTCTGCTGCTCACATCCAGTCTACGCCCATTTAGCAGGAGATAAATAACTTTAAAGTACATGTACACAGATGTTTAATAAGAAGTGGGTAGCTTTTTAAACAGGGCATTTAGTGTCCGATTTCATTAAAAATCATCCTAACAGTTCCGTTCACAGGAGAAAATTAAGCGATGCCGAAAATAATTTTAAAAAAAACCGACAAAAATGTACACTGTAGATATACGTATATTTTTATCTACATACATATGTATTTAATTTAAAGATAGATTTCCCGCTAATCAAAAGTATGGGAAACTAGGTCTTATTTCAACATGGGTAAGTTCAAACAGAATCCCATAGTTAGGAGGGGGGGGGGGGGTGTGGTTGACTAAATTTAAAATTCAAATGCGCTCAAGTTGACCATTTCCTTTGGTCCCTTCGGTGGATGTGAACGACAGAAAATGGACAGGTGCTTGCAAAGATCTATTTTTGCAATCGCGATTATTGAAGTTGTAGCCATAGTGATAAATTTTTATTTATTACTCCATATAAAATATATGTGATTTTTATTAGCGTATTACAGCTTATTTTAATATATATTTAATATTCTTAACTATTTTTATCAACGCCCGTATTTACTTTTATATCCATTTGCCATTTAAATAATAAATTCGATAAAAGGTAGTATTTAGTGCTCTAATAGTCCAAGTTTCCATTTTTGACCTATTCTTTTGTCAAAGAGTTTCTTATCGTTACAAAGTGCTCATCAAATGGCTTTGCATCAAGAGGTAAAATTAAAATGGAAAGATATTAAATCTTCGAACGACTTCACAACTGACAATGACAGTGCTCTATTAACTACGGAATTACTTACAAAGGTAGGCAGACGGTAACTGTAGATGGATGTAGGCTAATGATGGTTTAAATTTAAATTTAAATTTGACGCAGCTTAATATTAATAAAAATAAATTATATTATATTCATGATAATTTATGGGTCCCTTTTAATGCAAATTATAAATTTGGTAGCACGGAGACATTCGTGAAATTAACTGGAGAAAATATTGTCAAAAAATGACAAGAGGTACGCTTGACATACAGCGGCTTCTACACTAATAAGCCTTGACTACATCCCAACAATCCACTCTGGCGAAATCACCTAGCACAAAAATGCTTTCAAAATTGGTTACCTCGACAGTAACGATGACATAAAACGTGTGGAGTAAGTTGAGTTTATGCTGGTTTTGGGCAACTATCAAAAAGATTGTGCTGACTTGCAGTTACACCGCACTTGCTGGTTATGCGGTCAGCAACCCGACCGTACCTTTCAGATCATTCGAGTGAGCATAAGATTTTCATGTTCAGTCCTAACAACGTTTTACATGACACAGACACTACAAGGTTCTTAAAATGTAAAATGCTTAACATTCTCCAATCGGTAGATTTCGTTTTATAAAACCCAAAAGTCGGCTAGTGGTTATAATTTAAATTTATACTTTTCAATGTTTTTTTTTGTCGAAATAATGGAAGTACTGTCTTAATAACATCAATCTTATTGCTTTCACTATTTGATTATGGAAGAACTCTTTCGAATAATATTGAAACACCTTCATTGAAACAAATTTTAGAACTCTAAAAAATGTGACTTAGGAAATTCCTTTTTCTAAGTTAATGGTCAACATGAAGGTTTATGAGAAACAGAAACCTATTCAAGAGTTGACTTAGACTTTGACCAATGAGAAGAATTACTGACAGGTAGGATAAGGAGTAAGAGGAAGTTTAAGCGTATTTGATAAAGTGTAAAAGCTACAAAACGCCAAGATAGAAAAGTGTCTCTACATTTGGCTAGTAACCAATACAATTGGAAAAGTAAAGATTTTTGAGCAGACCCCTGAGTACGTTTGTCAGAATTACTACTGTGGAGTGGAAAGTAGTATATGATATCAAGTGAGCCAGTGAGTATGAACGAAATTTCAGATTTCAATGTGGATCACAGAGAAGATTTAGCCACTTTATGATAATTTACTGTGGTTCGGGAATATCTAATCACTTGGCTTTTTAAAGTTCTTCAAATGAATTTCAATCAGATTGAATTCCATAGAAGATTTTGTATTGATCAAGACATATATTAACTAACATCATATTTAGTTCTTTTTTTCTGCTCGCATCAAATAATTTTCTCTCTTTATGTTGTGTGATTTCTTATAATGTGTTTTAACTACTTTGTTAAAATAAATATTGCAACGTAGAGTAAGGAACTGCAGGGTAGGAGCGGAAAACTTTATCACACTAACAAGACACAGTGGCATCTGATAAATTTGGGTTTCTGGTAGTTTATCGATTGTACAATTTCCGTTGAATGTGATTGAATGTTTAAACGCTTTTTAATGGTATAGAAAAATAAAACATATTTTCGAATGTTAAAATGAATGCGAAGTCAGACAGACATTTATTTATCTATTTATTTCAAATGACAATCGTTTTGATAGTCATCATTAGCCCTTTAGCTTACTTCGGGCTTAACAGAGCGGAAGATCATCAAAATGAGAAAATGTGGAGAGAGAGAGGGAACGGTGAGGTGATTCACAGATGTAAAAGACACAGACAGACAGACATATAAGCAGAGAAAAGGTAAGATGAGTACTGTGTAAGTGGTGGAGTATCACATCCAGTTAGGTCATTGAAGTTTGAAGTCAGAATTCAACTGCCGGTTTATAGACTGTTTTTCTATATGGTGCACTACTTGGAGGTAAGCCTATCACACTCCTCGTCAGACAGGCATTGTCCATTGAAAAAATAACAAAATTAAAAACCACTATTATATTTACAGTACTTTAAGAATCAATTGAAGGAATATTACATATTAGGGAATTTGATTAGAGATTATGTCCGAATCAATAAACTGTCGTCTTTGGTAATTTTATGTGATTTTAATATCCTTGAATTCATCGACTGGAGGGAATACAATAAAATTATACTGACGATCTTTGATGCACTATTTCAACCAGTTTATATATGCATAATGACGTTCCGTAAGTAGAATTATACCCCTTTTAAAAATTCACACTATATACCCTGTTAAACAAAAATAATGTTAACAAGCACTATCTATTTATTTAAGATTTGAATTAACATTTCATCTGATTTAATTTTGAATTAGCTCGCATCTTCATATCCTCACAAATGATACTTCGTGACTAACCTTTTTTACTTCCAATTTTCGAAAATATTAAAGCGTAGCAAAATAAACATGAGAAAAAAATATGATCTAATTCAAATGTTCAGTTTAAAATTTTGCGAAATAAATATAATAATTGTTACGAGATCAATACAATAATTTGTAGAATATTATAATTAAAGATGGCATTTTAATGTTTTCAAATCATTCTAATCGTTAAAACACTAGTTTAAGTTAAGCATATTGCAGTTCTATTTTATGAACTGTCCAATTGAGCACAGTTTTGGTTCGTTTAAAGCCTCCAATGGCAGTCGAGGCGATTCTGGAAGCGAACTTTGTTCGTCTCCTACATTGCACGGAAGGTCTTGCAGCTTCGAAAAACTTTAATTACGATGAATTTGCGGATTATTATCAAAAGCTACATGAACTTCTTCGTAATTTAACCGATTCTAAGTTAAGACCTACTGCGGAATTTCTCCACATATATAAATCGCGGGTAATTATTGGTGATCATATTGACCTTTTATTTTTGTTTGGTTACTTATCATTTCTGATTGTTTGTTTTCCCTTGCATTTTTAGGTAGATCAACTCTCTGCTGTTATAGATAGGCACAAGGAACATGATAATGATGAAACTAATAATTCCAAAAGTGAATATTTAAAGAGTATACATAAATGGTTGCAGTACGATTCAGATGCAGTCGAAAGGCGTAATCAAATGCTAAGGGAGTTCTTTTTCCCTCTTGATCCCTCTGAGTCCATAAAATGGCTCGATCAGGATGATAAAATCCCTTCCCAGAACAAGGAACATTGTGAGAGTTATTCCAATCAAAACAAGTCGAAACCCCTTCTATCACGCTTTCTTACGGACGTTCCTAACACTTGTACAAGACTAAGAAACTTGGCTGATCAGGAGGCAAGACGTGGCCTAGGTAAGCTTTCAGGTCTTATGCTTTTCATTTCTATTTCGTATAGGCTTGGATGAAGATAGCAAATCACAGAACATGGCTAAAACGGGTGGAGTTCTTGATGTTGAAGTATTGGAACGTGACAAGATTGCCGAGGAAATGTTGTCGCTAACGGAAGAATTTAAGCTAACCCAATTGGCTATTGGTGATCGAATTCGTGCAGATATTGATGTTCTAAGCGCTTCGAGTAATGTTGCACAAGCCAATGCCGAGTCGCTAGCCTCCATTTCCCGACGTGTCCGGGAAGAACTTGGCAGCAAATTTGGTCTCTTTATTTGGATTCTTTTTCTCCTCACTCTAGTTGTCTTCTTTTGGATGATTTTTTTCATTAAACTCACCCCGAAAGGAATCCGATGATTTTTGGCACATTTGGTCTCTTCACTTTTGTTTTCGTGGTTTTATCTTCTCTCTTTGAGAACCTTTGTAACAAATACTTAGTGCTATTGATGTTCATTAATACGTGTCAGGTATGAATGAAATCAGCGTTTATCTACTCGATTGTTATCAGTAGGACTTTTTCTGTAATTTTTTTATTTTATTTCGCCTTCAAATGTGCTACTTCTCGGTTCGAGGTAAAGGCTCAGACGGCTGTCTCTGCGATGTATAGATGGAAAACAGTGCAGTCCGTGATTCTTAAAAATCGAAAGAGAAATTCAAATCAACGCTTGTGTAAAAGCTGAGATTCCAAATTGAAGACCTCTAAATCTCAAAATGTGACGTTTGTTGGAAGTGGACTTTGAATTTTTTGATCTTATAAACAAGGGAATCAGCCGAAAACTCAGTGAAAGTCTTATTGGTGATCATCCAATAGATTGACGCTAAACAACCTTTTTGTCGTGAAATGTTCTCAAATAAAATTAAGCCAAGAATGCGTTGTATGCATTTCATTTCCTGTTGTTCGTTCAGTTTCAGAATTTTTTGTTATTATCACCAAATTCGACTCCCTCCCTTAATAAAACGTCTAAGGAGCCGGCATTTTAGTATTTTTCAATGACAAGTTTTTTTATTGAATTTGACACCGTGAGTGTGAACGATGTCTGTAGTCACTGATTAAATATCTATCATTATGCACCCAGTGAACGGAATGGCTAAACGCATTGTTTAAGCTGACCTGACATCTGTTTATATTAAATGGCAGGCTTTACGATAGACGTCATTAGCTCATTAGTTGACTTCGAGCTTCGCAGAGGAGGGGGGGGGGGGGCANGGAGGGGGGGGGGGGGCATCAAGCCACAAAATGCCGAGAGGGTGAACGGAATAGTGATTCACAGTTGCTTAAAAGGTATGCAGGCACAAATGTAGAGGAAGGGTGAAGTGAGTACTGTGTAGTGGTCAGAATATGACATGCCGTGGGGTCATGGTAGTTGGAAGCCTGGAGTCAACTATCGTTTTATGGACCTTTATGCCGTATGAGTACAGGGGCCGAGGTGCACCACCTGGAGTTTTTACTATTGCGTATCCCTTGCCGGAATCAAGGTACTTCACCGTGAAGACTCTGTGCGAGCACCCTATCAAAGACGAGCGAAGGTGAAAGATTGCCTTGGGGATTATTGGGAACAAAGGGGAATTGCACTATTTATGCATATATAAAATTGGCCAGTTCCTTTATTCAGAGAAATTTATTTATACCAAATGGCAGGCGTTTTGACAGTTATCATTAGCCCTTTAGTTGACTTCAGGCTTCATAGAGGGGAGCAACATCTAAGTCACAAAATGTCGAGGGGGGGGGGGGGGAGAAGAGTGATTCAGCGACAGTCACATAGGCGGAAACAAAGGTGATGTGAGTACTGTGGAAGTAGTCGAATATGACATACAGTGGGGTGATGGTAGTTTGAAGTCAGAAGTCAACTGCCGGTTAATGGACTTTTTTGCCGTATGAATATGCGTTGCCCAAGGTGTACCACGTAGAATTAAGTCTATCGATCACCCCGTATTCAGAGAAATGACTTAATGTGTGTATTAAGGATGTCAACGTGCTGAAATTAAATTTTGGGGATGAGTGCACTATCACTTATAAAAGTGGACGGATAACTTTAGTATTCGTTTCATGCTTGGTGCATACGTAAAAAGATTCAAGGTCAAATACGAGATAAGAGAAAACATTTCAGTGCATTTTTACATTATGGGCAGTCCTGATAACGCATCAAACTTGGCATGTTATCATGACTGCGCCTTTGTACCAAACCTGCCATGGTTGGCACATAACCTCATTGAGCTTCATGATGGTAAACCCAGAGCATTTCAAATCCTTGTTTAGCCAAGTTCAAATTAGCTGGTGCTATGGGCCATTCTGCACACGACGTGTTCACTGGCGGTCATTGAAACCCCTGAAAATGGGCACAGCGATTTTGATAAAAATTGGCATCAGCCGACCAGCATAAAAACGCTCTCTCCCTCATTCATTTTTCCAAAAATTCAGCTAATTGGTATGCGTAGAATCTAGATTCGTGTTTCAAAGGTAATACCTTAGAACGTTATTTGAAAACCTGATTAAGTCATTAGTAATAACATAGTCCGAATAATTGAATGCGATTAGAACAGAGTAGAAGCTGGATAATTTAAGGATAATTTGTCAAATACAGGTTTACAAGACAGTATCATTCTCGGGTGATTAACGTACCTAAAGATAAAAAACACATCCATACTTGGATTCAATTCATGAATTAGATGCTTGAGTAATCTTGTGAGCACTTATTTACATTTTGAGCAGTAGAATTTTATATTCAATCTCTTCATTATAATCAAGCGTAAGAAATATATTCGGCGCACTCTTTTGATTAGCTGTGTCAACTCAAATGAATCTATTGAGGGCTGGTGCATGAGGGCCACTACACAGGGTGTTCTGGATCACTTTTGCAAAGTAGTATTTTGTTATTTTTTTCAAATGGCAGGCATTTTGATAGATATCATTAGCCATTTAGCTGACTTCGGGCTTCACAGAGGGAAGGTTCATCAAAATAGCAGAAAGTCGAGGGGTGGGGAACAGAAGAGCGATTCACAGATGTAAAGAGGCAGACAGACACAAAGGTAGAGAAAAAGGTGAGGTGAGTACTGTAAAGGGGTCGAATATGACAACTAGGGGGTCGTGGTAGTTTGAAGTCAGAAGTCAGCTGCCGGTTAATAGACTTTTTTGCCGTAGCACTGAAGCACTAACAATCAGGTACTTTGCCGATAAGAGAACTTTGGGCAACGTCGTCTAATTTCAAGACCAGATGATTTGGAGAAAAGAACCTTTAATTGTTTCATCTCAAATATCCAAACTTTTCAATATCCGATATGGAAGGATGAAATTCAAAAACTACAAGAACTTGTATTTCCATCGGATAGGTCAAGGAGTTAAAAGCACAAGAAGATATGTACAATACATATTTATTTATTTAAAACAAATGCAGATGTTTCGATAGTTATCATTAGCCATTTAGTTGACTTCAAGCTTCACAGGGGGGAGGAGGAACATCAAAGTGAGAAGAATTCGGGAGGGGGAATAGAAGAGTGATACACAGATGTAAAAGAGACAGGCTCAGAAAGGGTAAGATGAGTACTGTGAAAGTAGTCAAATATGACATACAGTGGGGTGATGGTAGTTTGAAGTGAGAAGTCAACTGCCGGATTATAGACTATTGTGCCGTATGATTATACGTTGCCCAGGGTGCACCACGAGGAGGTAAGTGTATCCCACACCCTAGATATGTGCAATACAATATAGACAGTGTGTTGGAGAAGTGTGAAAATTAAGGAGAGTGATTTTAAACTACTGGAATTTCCCTCCCTGTTCATGAGTGTTGTCTATAGCAAATTTTGAAATTAACAATTTGAAAATGGTAATATTGCAAGTATTGTCGTTTTGTTCCGTACTACTAGTTTGCTCGTCTACGCTAACACGAACATGCTTAGGCATTTCCCGCCGAAAAGTGGCCTTCAGATGTTTATGATAAGGCAAATGAAATAAGTAAACATGTGTATGAAGTCTCTGACATTGTTAATAGCAATGGAGGTTTGCAGATCCATTGTTTAATTTACGAGGCATATTTAAACGCGTGCCAAAGATACGGTATTAGTGTGTGCGTTGTGTTCACAACTGACTTCATCTTGACATGTGAAATAACCATCGACTCAACTGAATTCTCTGCTTACTTCAAGGGAGGATGGCTCGACACAGATATGTTGTGGTGAATGGAACGAGGCACGGAACCGTTAGGTGTCTAAAATTCTGGTTGTCATTCTTCATTATTACAACTGTCGCTGTTGTCATTTACTTGGTTGTTAAAAATCGGAAGTTTCTGAGTGAGGAGATTAAAGGTACAACTTATTATATATTTGCAATCTTGCAAATTAATTTAATTTTAGAAACTAACTTTTCATTTTTTTAATAGAAACAATTTACAATATCAGCCATTGTAAGTGATATTCATTTTGTCTCCTTTTGTTTTAGTCTGATTATACTCATAAATAATAAGTAAATAAATAAACATTTAAGGAACTCATTTAATCTCACAACTTCGACCAGTGTCATTGACGGTCAATGAAAGTTGGATACTTTGGTGATGGCACTCTACCTGCCTTCAATTGATGCAGTAATTTAACTAACAAAAAACTGTGGATAACACAACTTATGATTTACAAAATCAGAAGCCCCTCGACCACTCAATGACCACATCTATAAAGTGGTCATTATGCAAGAAAGTGTATGTTACAATTAGGTTCCACTTCACTACACGCCATACCAAATTAGCACATTACACGTCATAAGCACATTTCCTCTATACCTTTGTGACAGTTTAACTAGTTTTCGGGAACCTTACTATATCTAGCGAGACTCCCAGAACTAACTAAGCTACGGCCCAGCTACAGAGGAAACAGACGCATCGCACGGAATACCTTTATTCAGGTAGTATTCACTGTGGACAAAGTGTGCATGCCGAAAGGTTAGTCATAAACAGCGTGACGGATACGCTTAAACAAACGTAGGTTTCTGATTAGCCACTGGTTGTACGCGCAAGCGATTACGCGTTAAGCGATGACGTTTCCCACATTCTCTTCCATTTCATTTACTGGGTCTTTTCTGATTATATTCATTGGTGTAGATTACGACATCATTCACAGTTTCTTGTTCTTTGGAAAGTTATGGTTCTACTTTGTGTGTACGAAGGAGTGGATATTGATTTCGATTCATTCATTACATGAAACCATTCCTAGATAATCAGCAAAAAAAGTAAAAACACCATAATGGAGGTCAAGCTTTTCAACTTTTTTGTTAGCTTCAGATAATGAACTAATGACAGCTTCAGGATATCCGGTTCCGGAAATCTGTACTCTTCCGGCAACTTCAGGACCTTGTAAAGCCAACCTCAAAAGATTCTTCTTTGACTCCACAACTGGAGCCTGTAAGGATTTCATCTACGGAGGATGTTCTGGAAATGGCAATAATTTTGAAACATTGGATGAATGCATGAGAACTTGCAATGCTAAACCTAGTAAGTTTAATCTCCAAGCGCAAGATAAATCTTTCATACATCGAAATATTTTTCATTTATCATTTTATTAATTTTGCATCTTGATTATTTTGTACTTGATAAATATCAACCATTTTAGTTCGGAGAATTCTCTTAAGCTGTCTATTTCTACTTCTTATTTAAAATAGTTAGAAATCTTGAAATGTTCTAGTTACATTCGTTTGATCAAAAAAAATTTACTTAAAGTTGTTCATTTATATTCTATTCTTTATTTAAATAGTCAATACTAATTACCTCAAATTGTTTCAATCATAAAATAATTTCTCATTATTTTAAAGCTCTCTATAATATTGCTCTAAATCGACAAAAAATATAATTTACCATATGAAACTTGAGTCATTAAATTAAGTGTACAAACACTTGATCTCAATATTTATTTTGCATTCATGCTGAAATTGTCCATTAAGAGAAAAAAACGATTCAACAAGTCGTATTGTCCTTATGTTCTACTTTTTGTTCTAAAGTCAAAAAACCCGATTTCTGTATGCTGGAAAAGGATCCAGGTCCATGTTATGCAATCCTCCCAAGGTACGCCTACGATAAGAGGCTTGACAAATGTGTGGAATTCACATTCGGTGGTTGCGGTGGCAATCGAAACAACTTTGAGAGTATAGAGCAATGTGAGAAACAGTGCAAANGACTCCACAACTGGAGCCTGTAAGGATTTCATCTACGGAGGATGTTCTGGAAATGGCAATAATTTTGAAACATTGGATGAATGCATGAGAACTTGCAATGCTAAACCTAGTAAGTTTAATCTCCAAGCGCAAGATAAATCTTTCATACATCGAAATATTTTTCATTTATCATTTTATTAATTTTGCATCTTGATTATTTTGTACTTGATAAATATCAACCATTTTAGTTCGGAGAATTCTCTTAAGCTGTCTATTTCTACTTCTTATTTAAAATAGTTAGAAATCTTGAAATGTTCTAATTACATTCATTCGATCAAAGAAAATTTATTTAAAGTTGTTCATTTATATTCTATTCTTTATTTAAATAGTCAATACTAATTACCTCAAATTTTTTCGATCATAAAATGATTTCTCATTATTTTAAAGCTCCCTAAAATATTGCTCTAAATCGACAAAAAATATAATTTACCATATGAAACTTAAGTCATCAAATTAAGTATACAAACACTTGATCTCAATATTTATTTTGCATTCGTGCTGAAATTGTCCATTTATAGAATAAAAACGATTTAACAAGTCGTATTGTCCTTATGTTCTGCTTTTTGTTCTAAAGTCAAAAAACCCGATTTCTGTATGCTGGAAAAGGATCCAGGTCCATGTTATGCAATCCTCCCAAGGTACGCCTACGATAAGAGGCTTGACAAATGTGTGGAATTCACATTCGGTGGTTGCGGTGGCAATCGAAACAACTTTGAGAGTATAGAGCAATGTGAGAAACAGTGCAAAGGTGGGCAACCAATTCAGATGGCTTACTTTTAAGCTATTTCTTCGCTTTATTTTTTTTCACTTTTCTCAATCTCCTAGAACCAAACGGAGCCAAGGATTCAGTTTCAGAAGATCCCGGCGACACCTCCGTTTGCCTTTTACCACGCGAAACTGGAAAATGCCGAGGATATATAAAGAGGTGGGGATTCGATAAAAATTTAGGAGGGTGTGTTCAATTTGTCTATGGTGGATGTGGTGGAAATGGCAATAACTTCGAGTCAATAGAAGCCTGTGAACAAGCATGCATAGGTAGGGGAACATTCACTATTGTGGTTAGAAGTGATAGTAGTCTATTTGCTTCTAGCCTCGAGTTCTTGTACTAATTACACATTCCTTTTTCAACTTGTACCCCATATAGCGATGCCAATACCATTTGATCAATCTTCACAAATGGATTCTGTTTGCAAATTAGCACAGGATTCTGGTCCGTGCAGAGGATCTATAAGACGATGGAGCTATGACGCCTCAAGAGGATTTTGCGTTGAATTCACTTATGGTGGTTGTCAAGGCAATTCCAACAATTTCGAAACTCGAGAGGCTTGTGAAGCCAAATGCTCTGGTAAGCTTCCTCTATGTTAGTCAGACAGTAATTCAAACTTAGGCAATAACAATAACAAAAATTGATTGAATTATGGGGTGATAAACTGCTAACGTAATAAATGAAGAACTAAAACTTAAGTGAATAATTAGGAAATGCTTGGCTTAGTTAACATTTCATCAACGCTTAGAATGAAAATCAATTTTTTTTAATTAGTTGGCCATTATTAACAAAAAGCGTTGAGTACATATCGATTTCACTTAAATTATTTGAGTTGACATTGAATGAACGAAAATTATTTATTAATTAATATCAAATGGCAGGCGTTTTGATGGTTATCATTAGCCCTTTAGTTGACTTCAGGCTTCACAGAGGGGAAGGAACATTAAAGTGAAAAATAAGTCGAGAGAGGGGGGGGGGGGGGTGGAAAACAGAAGTGTGTTTCAAAGACGAAGGTAGAAAAGGTAGAAAAAAATGTAAGATGAGTACTGACATACATGACATACAGTGGGTTCATGAGAGTTTGAAGTGAGAAGTCAACTGCCAGTTAATAGACTTTTTGCCGTATGGGAATATGTTGTTCAGGGTGCACCACGTGGAGGTAAGTCTTTCGCACACCCCATGAACGAAAATCAAGGAACATAATGCTTCATTTTGAAAATGGAATGAAACTTAGGAAATCAGCGCTCCATTTTTTATTAATGATTGAATTAATTACTTGCATCATTTTTTTCATAGATGCCGCCACTTTAAGTTCAGAGGGTTCGTTCAAACCATCTACTACTTCTCTTCAAAATAATTCGCAATCTTGAAGCATTTTAATTACATTCATTCGATCAAAGAAAATGAACTTTTAGCTTGTATTTTTATTTCATTCTTGGTTTAAATATTCAATGCTGATTATCTCAAATTAATTCAATCTTAAAAAATTTCCGATTATTTGTTCTTTTTGGGCAATGGTACGATCTTGTCCTTTGCTAGATGTTCTGGTTATCGACAGGCAGGCTGAAATACACAGTTTAGTACCTCGGTAATTTTCAATAGAACTTTAGTGAAAAGTTTATTCGGGGCTGTTCTAAAGCCATCGGCCCTTCAAATATTCTTCCAAATTTCAGAAGTCACAAAAACATGGAATTACCTCTTGTCGACAATTCATTAAAAACACACCAATTTGATAATTATACCAAATTAATTAATTCATTTATTAATGTGAATGAAACCTTTAAAACGGTATCTTCAGTTTATTTTAGCTAGAAAATATTCCTTTATAAACAAAAGCGCGTTACTTTTATGCTATGATCTCAGTATTGTAGCGATTGAAGACACGTCTACCTCACAAGAGTTTATTCGCTTAGAGAACAACTCGAAATGCTCAAAAAACCATTGCAAATAGCGCAATCACATCGTTCTAATAAAGATATTTATCGCATCGAATCGATTGAAGACAGTGAGCAAGTGTAGACATGAAATCATTGTAATGCAAATGGGTTGAGCAGCTTCTCTTCTAATTAAAGAATCAACACAAATATCATCTTGCCAATAATTTGGAAATTTAGCGAGGCAAAAATCATTTGTGCACCAAATTGGAAATTATCCAACAAAGCAGAGATAGCATAATTTGCTTAAAAGGAATCATTTCAGTGGGAATTGATCTGGTGAGTTGACATTTCAACTGATCGACGTATATATATATAGACGGTCACGGGCATCAAGTGCTTACTTTATGCAGATGATCTTGTTCTATGGTATTCCGCCCCCTAAGAAAAACGCTCAGGAGAAGACAGAAAGTGCCCTAAATTGTGTGCTTAAACTACTAGCAAACTGGTGCGACAACAATGGAATGGTAATCAACACCGCAAAACTGCATTCCAAACTTTTCTTTGGCTCGTCACAGCATAAACCCACTTCTAAGGTACAAGGATACTACCCTAGAAAAAAAAACCAATGAGTTCACATATCACGGAATGACGTTTGACACAAAGCTAACATGGAAAAATCACATTGCTA